ATATTATTCCTTAGAGCAATCTGTGTAAAACACCCTTTTTGGAAGTTATCTATACTTAGGAGTTACTGGCAACTATAATTATTAAAATATCATACATATGCTCATAATATAAGCTAACGATCATATAAACACGAATATGAACTGACCACGGAATGAGATGCAAATTATTAAAACTTGATAAAAAAATTCAAACGTGTGCAGTATTTGGGTGGAAGGAAAGAATCCAATGTACCGGAATTTTCTACCGTTTTCAATTCTTGGCCAATAGAACGACGGACCTTCGGACTCTCGCGCGCGTTATGTAGAGGAAGGAGGTAAGCAAATTTCCGTGTATATTCCCCATCGACGTTGCAAATACGGAAGAAAAGTTGTTTATGTTTTTGGCTTTTGGTACGGGAAAAATGCGCGTTGTTAAAACAAAGGATTAAAAAAAAAGCACTAAAAGCAAAAATACGCCTAAAAACAAAAAAATAAGGGCTTTAAAGAAAAAGTAAGCACCTATAAGGGCCTTTATATTTTATTTTCAAATATCAGGACTTATAAGCACTTGTAAGGATCGCTACGAACCCTGTTGTATACTGATCCTCAACAAAAGCAGAGTTGGATGATATAAATATATGTTGCAAATTTCTCTATGGCAAAAAAAAAAAAAGGGGGGGGGAAGAAGAAAAGAATTTAAGACAGTTGCATTTTTAACTTATTGAAAAGGCTCAGTGGGCTATGGATTGAAGAGCACTTATTTAAATATAAGCTAATAATTATTCTGTGGCCAACATGCAGTAAGAAATATCTTACTAGGAGAAAATCTAAATAAGTTTCCAAGATATTGAAAAACCATTTAATAACATGTTTGAATGTAAAGTTAAAGATGCTTACATAATGATAGAAGTGCATGTAAAATACTTTATTCAATCAGTAGAGCAGGATTTAGACTTGATAAGGACCTAAGCTATTCGAGATATGAGACCATTTAGTAGTTTATTATATTATAATTTTTGGGGACTCCCAAGAAAGTGGGGCTTTAAGCTATAGCTTACATAGATTATATGTTATGTATATAATTCTGACAAATAGTATCAAATCCCAATTTTTTTCCATTGCCAACTATAATTACATAAAATGTAAACTCATATTTGTGGAACAATAGATAAAACCATCTCCAAACTTGTATACAGCTTTACTGTGTTTTATTCAATAAAGTATGTAAAATCACAGATCTCTGAATATCCAAAATTTCCAGTTATTATGAGAAATAATTACCAGTAACAGCATTAGTATCCTCATTGTGTCCAATATCAATCCACCCAAATTATACTTATTAAAATTAAAAAAAAAAAAGTAAATGAGACAGACATCCTTTACTTTTTCATTCCACGAGGTATGAATGTGTATGCTTAAAGACAATACAATTTACTCCCTCCCACCTCCAAATTTATTTTCAAATCCTCCTTAAATAACAAGTTCAATGCCAATATTCACAAGTGGAGGAAAGTGAGGAATACCATATTATTATTAATGATTTCTTAAGTATTCATAGAGCCAACTTACTTACTAGTGCTCTAAATGTCAGTTAATACTTTGCATTTCTCTTCACTGAAACAGAGCTGACACACATACAGTGGGTTTTAAAATTGGCATCGAGTTCATATACATGCAATAGTCAAGTGCTTACTTCTCATGCTTAAAACCTACTGCATGTATATCAGTTCAGTTTCTCTTCAATAAAACAGGTTATACATGCTGCAATGGGTTTTAAAGTTTAAAAAAAATGCTTTTTTCCAACAAGTTTCTACAAATTTGGATTCCGTTATTTTGGTGAAATATATAAAATACTTTAAAAAAAGATAACACAATATTTTGCATGATAACTTCCTTTCCAGTGATTACTTTAAATGATTCTAAATTTATAAATTCTGACAGAAAACTCATATTTTTAGAGCAATGAAATGATTAATTATTTGGTGCAACTAAAATATTCCATATTAATACCGAATTTTAAATATGAAATGAATTTTTGTGAAATTGTTAACAAATTATTTTTTTTTTTACATTAAACATTAATTTCTATATTTAAAGTTGAATAAATAAAATAATGAAAGAAAATTTTTTTCAAATACTGCTGTTAGGAAAGGTTATAAAAATTAAGTTTAATTCTGAATTATTGTGAAAAATTTATATAAATTTTCAGAATGAGATAATTTGAAATCAGAAGTATGATTACATATGAAATGACTTAATATTAAAAATGACCATGCAAAAGATGTGAATAATGCAAATATAAATAATGAAGTACTTTTAATCTTAAATATAGTAATACATGTATGATTATTGTAATTATAAATACAAATTATTAATGGTTATAATGGGTAATGAAGTACAGCTTTTATCCACGTTAAATATAGATACTACCTTTAAAATGGTACATTATTAGTAATTATAAATACTCTTGTAATACATGCAAATTATTAATGGTTATAATGGGTAATGAAGTACAGCCATTTTAATCACGTTAAATATAGATAAATACACTTATAAAAATGGTAATGATAATTTAAATAATGAATGATTGGTGTATATAAATTATGTAATGGGTAGTTGAAAGTAAAAAGGCTAAGTACAATACTAAAAATAGTAGTTCAAAATTATAGTGAATTATTTTAATTTCTGAACTAACTGTTTTGCTTACTTTCACATTCCCACCCCTCAAAAAGATGAAGGCTTCAATAATCTGAATGAATATAACAAATTTTTATAATTTTTTGAACTGTAGAATGACTGCAATTCTTCAAGAGTCAGTTACCTTATATGAGGAATGAAGGCCTTTACAAAAACTGCAATATCTGAACCTCAGCAATTAATAAATTACCACACTTATGTCTAAAGAAGCGTTACCTAATTTCACATCAAAAACACTTTGAAAATTGTTTAGCCTTCTGTTAATACATGACTTAATATCGAAGTTAAAGTGAATTATAAATTAAAATTTTAATTTATACATAGTATAATTTTAATAAATTAAGCATTTATGGATGTTATTAGGTAGGGTTGAGGAAAAAAAAAACTATGCAGACTAACTATATTAAAGATTAATGATGAAATTTTCAGTTCAAAATAGAAAATAAATAATAATAAGGAATTTTATTGTATTCACTTGGAACCTAATAATAAATACATTTATTTTTCCACTCATCTTGATATTTAAATAATTTAAATCTAATTCTGAACATTTTCTAAATTTTCACTGATATATCAGTTTTCCCTTAACAGATATGCAAGCAAAGTAATTTAAGTAAAAAGAGGAACATTCCTGAAATCAGAAGACGGGGAATTGCTTCATGCGGTCATCCTTTAATAGTAAAAGCTTAACTAACTGGCATACTCAGAAATTGCCAAATATCTGAAAATTTCAGATAGTCGAGCATAGTTGGAAAAAGAGGGGGAGGGTATATTCTAGTCGTTCTTTAGCTTTTTCGGCAAAATAATGCTTTTGACATTTCGATATGTGCATTATATAGAAATAGCCCAACGGAACTGAAAAATATTCTACTTAGAAAGCACAGTAAAACTCTTTTAAGTACTCATAAACAGATCTCAGACTGAACATAAAAATTAATTATCTCTGCAAAATATCACAAAAGTTATTGCACAATACGTGCACCTTAATTCTTCCACATGTGATATTATGCAATCGGAATCAACAGCTGCAGGTATTGGGAGAATAAAGAATAAATGTTTGTTTTTATTCTTCGCTTGGGTTGGTAGACCACAGAACTTTTAGTCTTATTCAATCCAGATTGGAAGTGAAAAAAAAAAAAGGTCCGTTGCTTGTTTTGCAGCGAACTGTAACAGTTTCAATATTCGAGATTTTGCGGAGACAGTAAGAACCTCCCAATCTTCACGTATAATGTTTGGCGAAAAGAAATTATTTTGACTTTCCAATTACTTTCCCTTTATTAAGCCATTCTGACATTATATCTGTGTTAAAACACAACCTTTTTGGAAGTTTATTTACTTCAGCAGTTAACTGCAACTATGTTATTATAAACATTTCATACATATGCTCATAATATAGCATAATGATCATAATAACACAAATATAACTGGCCAAGCGAACGAGAATGCATTATTAAGATCTTGATAGAAATTCAAACGTGGTAGTATTTGGGGGGAGAAAAGACTGTCGAATGTACCGAAATTTTCTACTGCTTTCGCATTCTTTGACCAATAGAACGACGGCACCTGTCGTACTCTTCGTGCACACCAAAGGTTATGTTATGCAGAAAGGGGGAAAGCTATTTCCCGGGAGTATGATTCACCATCTGACATCCATATTAGGAAAAAATTTGTTATTTGTTTCAGCTTTGTACGGGAAAAATAGTGCGTTCACTAAAAAAAAAAAAAAAAAAAAAAAAAAGAGCACTAAAAGCGAAAAATAAGGACTTTAAAAAAGAAAACGTAAGCACCTACAAGGGCCGTTATATTTTATTTTCAAATATAAGGACTTATAAGCACTTATAAGGACCGCTACGAACCCTGTTTACCATATTTTATTATATTATGAATTACATTTAAATTATCTCTCGATGTCCAAGAGCTGCCTAATATTCAATAAAGTTTCCTTTGCCACCTTCTTTATATACATCAGTGCAATGCTAAATGAGCATTTATATAATATATATATCTGTATACATACATATATATGCACGCAGATAATAAAAAATTAAATACATTACATATATAATTATGTGATGTCTTTTATTTCTATTATTCTTCCCTTTCAGTAAAATATTTCATCGTAATTAAAAATTATTCACCATTTTATATATTGCTGCAGTAGGTTCAAATCATGTACCATTCGAAATTCATCAAAACTACTTAAAATTAAAAAAAAAAAAAAAAGAGTAATGCGTGTTAGATTTGATATTATTGATGCTGAACTACGAAAACATTTTTTTATTATTTTATATTAAAATATTTACATTAAAAACCATACATATCAGTAAAACTATTTCAAGAACATATACAGCATAGTGTATGTTGTATTTATAAAATTTCAGTATTTTCATAAACTGGTATTTAAAATTATTTTGTTTAATAAAATAAAATTCACATGCATAGCTTACAGTGTCATATACTGTCAAGAATCACAGTCTTGTATGATGCTTCAATCATTATCATCATCTCGAAACAGAGGGGATCTACGTGCATTTAGAGTATCTCTTCTCAATCTTTTAATTTTTGAGCGCAAATCTTCAGGAGCATGAGATGAATATGTACTTTTCCTTCTGAATGATGATGAATTAAGGGTGCTTCTCAAATCTTCGGTTTGCCTGCTCCTCAGATTTTGAAACAATCTGCTTCTTGAATTTTGTGATGATCTGCTACTAGTTTTATAAAAGTCTTTTCGAGAGCTTTCTTCATCAGCCATTGATTTTGCAATATCTGTCCAGATATTGAAACGAGATGTCACTTTTCGAATTACAGGTACTTTTTCAGTATCTTCTTCATCACTAATATTAATCCTCCTACCTAAATGAAACAAATCATCTTTGGTATATTTTGCTCCTAAACGGCTGTGAACACTGCGGGATGTTGATCTAAAGGCATCTGAACTGAAATAATTTAATATTAATTATTAGTACATTTATGATTTAAAATACATAACAGAAATACTAAAAAACGTATCTAATTATTTCTAGTAATATCATTTACAGTTTAGTGTACAAATAAATAAATAAACAATTTTTCTGTTTAATTATATTTTGTGCAAACACATAAAACTGGTGCAAGAGTTTGACAATGGCTAAGTGTTTTTAAGAATTATTATTATTATTTGTTATATCTTTTAAAATAATATCCTGACTCTAACTATGTAAAATATTCCCTTATTTAAACTATCTTGAATACAATATACTATTTATTATGTTTACAGTTAGTGTTTTGTTTTAAACTGGTTCTAACACTGAAAATATATATTTACATAAGGTTGCAGGATTTTTGTACCCAAACCATGTAGCCTTCAAGTAAGCAACAAATTCTGAGGTAAGGAAACTCAACAGATCTCTAATTCACCAGGATAAGTTTTCAGGTTAATACTGTGGAAAATGGCCATGCTTCTATATGATGTAGCTTTCATGCGCAACCTAGTTGAGAGTGCAGTTAATGATGATGAATGAAGAAGTGTGAAGTAACATTCTTTCTTCCTTTTCATTTTTTTAAAATTTATGTAAATAAATCATAGTTTAGTAATAACTTTATAAGTTTTACTGATGATTATTAGCAATGTTTTTCCTGTATAAATTTTGGTGTCAGAAATGTTAAAGTTTCTGACCCATAGATTCTTTTTATTTCATGGGTTATGCTTAGTGTAGCAATCCTATTTTCAATGGTTATGCATTGGCAAACATACAACCATTTTGAAGAGGATTATAAGTGAGCATTTTACACTTATAATTTTCGCTTTGAATGTATAATTCTTTAAAATATAAAACATGGCCTGTGAAGAAAATTTTGAAAAATTAAAACAATGTAGTGTTGAAAGAAGCAATAATGCTAAACTAATTTCAAGAACTGATGTTGAATTAGCAGATGAAGTATTACATCTAATATCTTAGAGGATGATTTAGAAGTTTTAATTGAGAAAATGAATAAATTAAAATCCTTAGATACTCAAATTGAACATTTCATTGATACAAACTTAACTGCAAAAGTAAGTACTGATTACCAAGAAAAATGTATCAGATATAGTAACAAACTTAAACGTTTAAAGAAACAGAAAGAAAATTTTATTAACTTGCCGACATCTGAAAAATTGTTAAGTACTTTGAATGATGACTTAAATTTACCCTCTTCAATTAAACTTTCCAAATTAATAATCAAACTGTATTCAGGAGACCCGAAATATTGGAACAAATTTTGGAATTCATTTGAAAGCACTATTGATTGAAATGATTCACTCTGAAAAATTTGCATATTTAAAAACATACTTGACTGCAGGAGCATTAAATGTAGTATCTGGTTTTCAATTAACTGATAAAAATTACGACAAGTTGCTTAAAGATCATTTTGGTCATAAGGATATCATCATTGATTCTTTTAATTTTAAGCTTGCAAAGTGTTAAAATTTCGGCAAGTGTTCCAGCTTTGAGAAAGTTATTTGATGAACTTGATACTGCTATATGAAATGCAAGATGATTCAAAATCCTGTGGTCCACTTTTAATTTCAATTGTTCTAAATTTATTGCCAAAAAACCTTGTTTTAGATTTTAAGCAAAATACAAATTCAAAATATGATATGACAATTTCTGATCTTCTTTCTTTTCTAAAATGTAACTGTGAAGAATCAGCACTTTGAATGGATTTAGTCATTTATATCACTTTTGTCCTGACAAATATTTTAGACCCAAATGTTCATCTTGTAAAACCACAAAGGCATCCACACATATATTCTATCCCACAATCAAGAATTAAATCAATGCTCAGTGGCTTCAGCCACTCAGTAGACAGCATTTCATATATCAGCAATTTTTTAAGTGTGCTGGGTTCTAAACTCGTGCAACATTTATTAAACAATCTTACTTCATCAGAAAATAATTTAAAAAAAAATCATGGATTCTTTATATTATCTACATTAATTAGTTATGGAATACCATGACTTTTGAAACAAAAATATAGATTTACATAACACAGCAAAAATCCAAAATCTGGACCACCAGCCAAAAAATATATAAAGAAAAAAATAAAAATAATTTTGATTAGTCTAGGATCTGAGAATATAAGAATAAAGAGAGGCAGGTATACCATAATTGGACTAGGATTTCTGCATGTCACTTTTAAACACTTCACCATCCTATGAAACTCATAGACAGGTTGTTTCAGCAATTTGGTTACAAACTTTTAGGATAAATAGAATACACTGGACGATGGAAAATCACACAGCAATACATGGTTGGAAATGCTTTTCTGGTGCGATAATGATGACAAAAAATGAAGGACACGAACAGAGTGACAAAACATATTTATTATGCTTAGTACAGCAGTAACCAAGAAATGAAAACAAAAACTGACAACTGGTCATCAAAGAATGAATCAAATTTTACAACATCGAAAATACACTTCCGGACCGTGATCACATCTCTGGCACATGGAAGATCTAATGTTCTGAACAATACCTGGCATGTCCAGCAGCTGCCATGACGCATGCAAAAACTTCTTGAGCACTGTTAACAGGGGTTTCGGACACCAGCATCTTGACACACCCTTGCCAATCCAATGTTAAGGGTACTTTGCATTCAGATGTAGCAGCACCACATGTATACCATTAATGTATGCAAAAATTTAACATTCCCAACATTTTAGCTGTACTGAATGTTCCCGACATTTTAGCTGCACATAATAAACATTTTCTCATCTTGTTTGTGTCCATATTTTCTTGTGTTGTCATCATTACCGCACCAGCAAAGTGTTTCCGATCATGCACTGCTATTTGATTTTCCATCATCTAGGTGTACTTTATAATTCCTGAAATTTCGTTACCGAATTGCTGAAACACCCTGTATTTGCTTCTTATTTTTCCCTGCAAAGATAAACTGGCCTTAGAAATATTTCTTTCCCCCCATTTCAAACAGCCATCAACGATATTTAGAAAAACTACCAACTCATCTTCCAACCCAGAAGAAAAATTTCTTTTGTTTTCCCTAGTATCTTACCTGAAAATTAATAAAGAACACCCCCCAAAAGTGAATTTTTAAATGAGAAGTACTTCCATTGTAATACCAGCTAAAAAGGGGAGCTGGAAGTGCATTTCTATTTCCCATTTTTATAGGTGAATAGCAATAAGCTTTGTGCAGTCCTGTAGAATTCCGCTGTGGAGACAGCGAGACCACGAAGCCGTTTATCACCTTTCTTCATTTTCGCTGCATTATAAGCCATTTATCACCTTTTTTCATTTTCACTGCATTCTAAGGGGTTGGAAAATATGAAGATGTGGATCACATCTAACCTTGACTAGTGCATCACACCTCACAATCAGTTTCAAATTGATAACTATCACTTGGGGTGATCAGGGAAGTGGTTACACACCTGCTGGCTAAGGAATCACACAGAAAATTTTTATGATCCTGAATTTTTGACAGCCTGATCTAGTTGTACCAGTGCTCTGGCTCAGTGGGAGAGTGGGATTAGCATCTTTCTACCTGACATAAACAATAAGTGCTGCATCTATGTCGGCATGTTATTTTGCTAGATCCGGAATCACCAAACTTCCAATGATTCCGGATCTTGGACTTTGCACATATAAAAAATAAATAAGTTTAATGCAAAACAGTATCCTACAAACTCTGATGCTGCCAAAGGAATACCACTGTAAAGTGTAATTTGACTCCAAGTATTTTTATGTTCAAATTTTTCCTACAAAAATATTTAAAAAAGCTAAAGTATGAATGTGGCTAAGCCTCTCATTATAAATTATATGAATACACATAAAATATGAGATAAATGCTGATTTCAACAGCTGTAATTACTAAGTATAACAAATCAGACTGAAATCAACCACTTCTTATCATACCGTCTAGATCTTACAAAAACTCTAGATTTATTCTTTTCTTCTTCATCATCAGCATACATTCTCATCCTAGGCTGCTTGTTGCGAATTGGTCTGCTGGTAATATTCTTATCAGCATCTATTAACAAAGGAATACAATTTTTAAAACGTAAAAATATCAAAATCATTATTCACATAAATAAGCATAAGAAAATATGTAAACATACATGATTTTAATGCTTTTAAGCTTATTTTTATATTAATATATAAGTTATTTGAAGAAAGACAGCTACAGGCTTCAATTCCTTAAATACTGACTCTAGATAGGTACTGTTAAATATAAAGTTCCCGAAGTTAAGACAAAAGATTCTATGACAACAATTTCAACTCTGTGGGTGAAAAATTGCATATTATCATATTAGAACTACATTGAAATAAAACATCAAACACCTAAGATTACTTAATAATGCAAGATTTATTTCACTACATACTTAAATTAGAAGTTATATTAACTTCTGATGTCTTTCCTGAATCTTCAGTTAACTTTTCTATCACTTGTCTATTTCTAGCTGCTTGCATTTTACGTTTTCTAGAAGAACTGATAAGACCTTTCAGACCTACATTTTAAAAATGTTGTGTAAGTTCTTGAAGAGATTCTAAAACTCAAAATTAAAAAAAATATACAAAAAATACAAAAACAAATTTTGATTACCATATAATACAATTTAATGAAATTAATGCTCCTTTTACAAAAATTTAATCCTATTTTAACGAACGCTTTATGTAGCAATCTGCCTTCAGGAAAATTCAAATAACTGTTTTGTTTTCAGCTCCTTGAAAGAACAGACAGGTATCATTTCCGTGATAGTGGGCAGGATTGGGAAAAGAATGAGACAAAAGATGCAGCATAAAGGATCCTTGGAAAATCAGGTTGTTTCAGATATGTTGGAGGACTTGCTGCAAAATAATGGAGGCTGTTTCAAAAGAAAATGCTACCTTGTGCATGACTTTCAAATATCTGATGAGGTATTAGTGGTAGCTTAGAAAGAATGTTTCTTTTTATTAGTGTAGTGCCATTTATTGTTAGAAATAATTTTGGATTTGTAAAGAAATAAACAGCCCACAGACTATGTGATTATTTCCTAGCTGCTTGGTCTCCTGCTATGTGCAAGGACAGTAAAAAGGAAAATACACAAGTCTCTCTTTTGAAGTGAAGGGAAAGTGTGCTGCATAATTTAAAATTTCCTTTGTACTTCTAATTGGCTTCTGAAAAGTGGTATGATACTGTTTGACCAACGCAAAATGATGTGAAACGCGGCTATGTAGAAGTCAGTTTTAATTATGAATTAAAAAATGGGTTAAACAGGGGAAAAGGGGGAGGAAGAAAAGTCCAAAAGAAGAGGAAGGGGGAAAAAAAAAAGAGGAGGAAGAAGAGAAAGTTGTTTAATGCTGACATTCTGATGGAGTTGCACTGTAGTATATAATGAAGAAGAAATGATGATAAAAAAAAAGGGCTCTGTTTAACTGAGTTCAATTTACAAGATGATGGATTGGTCCTATGAATCATGATCAACTAAACAAGATTATTATTTAGTGTGAATTCAAAATTGCTCAAGATAGTAATGAGTGTAAGATGGGGGGGGGGAGAGCAAAAGTGATTTAATGTTTCAATTTTCTGACATTTAAGAAGAGAGTGTTTCTGGAGTGTCTTCAATGATTCTAATATATTAAAAGATCTGGAGTTTCTTATCTTGACAAAATTATTTACTGATTTTCTTTGGTTCCAATTTGTGGAATTCTGAATGATTTCGATGGGTTGGACCAGTATTCTACTGCCTAAGTCAAGCATATAGCTTCAGCTTCTCTTTTGGGAACTGATGAATTTTGGGGTGCTTTGAATTAAGAAATCTACCAGTTGATGAAATGTATTCATTTTCTACCTTTCAGGATTATTATTTGGAAGGAATCCAAGGTATAGCTTTCCCTCAAACCTCTGCAGGTAGCACATATCTATACAGGTTGAAAAAAGGCTGGGATCTCTGTATCCATCTAGGCATACTGGGTATCTCTGGGCCTTGTTTGTTAAGCTGCTGCATCATGCTGAATTACTGGAATTCTGAGGGAGAACAGAAGGGAGCATCTGAAGGTCTCCCACACCTCTTCCCTTCCCAGTTTTGGCTTGCTGTGCATTTTGAGTGTCCTTTTGTAGCATATATGCTATATATTCACAAAACATACATGCCTTCCCCAGGATTCAAACCTAGGCCCTTCAGTACACAAGTCAGTTTTGCTAACCATTATTCCATCTGGGTTGTACTTATGTAAGTAGAATCTTCTCCTCTTAGATCGTGCGACAAAGTAATTGTTGGAACCAATAATGACAAATTGTATGTGCAAATCAAATTTTAAATGAGCCAGCTGATGTTTATAAATTGTGTCCAAGTAAAATCATTATTTTATTATCTTTCTAAGGAATTAATATCATATCAGATACTGGCACAAGTTACATTTATGTCATAAGGTATTTTAATTAACCAATTATTATTATTTAAACCTTATAACTTCTCCTTTCTTTAGTTCCCACTAGAATGCAAACTAGTTGTTTGAGTATTTAAGTTAAGGGTTTTGAATGTTTTAGTGATGGCACCCTGCAGCTCTACTTGATATTATTCTAGTTGTACCCATTTTGTTAGCCGATGTTAAAAATATGCCCTGAAAATAACAGCCAGCTTCAGGAGGCTATTTTGTATAGTCTCTGACTATGACTACATTATTCGATTAAAATCGCAATAACAACCTTGTATTTAGCGTACATATGTTAAAACACTCAATCGATTTCGAGGGCAACTAAAATGATTGAGTGTTTTAACATATGTACGCTAAATACAAGGTTGTTATTGCGATTTTAATTGTCACGTTGGCCTGTTTCTCTTCTACTCTACATTATTTGAATTTGAAATTCAACTTATGTTATTTTTTATACATGCGAATGGCGGAGTTCTGTTCACAAGCAGCGACTTCTGTTAAATTAAGAATAAATAAAAAAAGTTATTTTAACTTTCTCAGGGCTTTGTTATTTTATTTCAGACTGAAGCATAGCATGCTTATCAGTCTAGTACGGTCTGAAGGACAATGATTTAAACTTCACCACAGTCAGAACTCCACATTTGGTGCCTAACTTTTAGCCAAGACTCCAAGTTTCTTCACTACCACCTAGCCTAATGAAAGGATTTTGTTGCATTTTAGATACAATGCATGCATAAATAAACCATCTAATAGTTTTGATAATAGAGGCTTGGTAGTGACTGTTTTAGAAAGTGCAGAAATGCTTCTTTTATTATATATAGTTGCAGAAGCCCAGAGGGTTGCTATACCAACCAAAGTTTGTGAAGTAATGACTTCCTTTGACAGTTTGAAATCCTTGTTGAAAAGAAAAGGTTTTACTCTATGGCAAGCAAAGTGGAGAACAACCCAGAGTCTAAAGGAAGATTCACATATAATTTAATCTCAAGTGTAAGTGAGAGAAGATGCCTAAGTGACAAGTATCTAAACCAAGCTTTAACTAATGATGGACAATTTCCCTTTCATTATAATAGGTTTTCGATTAAAAATTGTGCCTGTACATGTGGCATGAGTAATGTTGATATTGAGCACCTGTTGTTTAGATGCTCTTCCATGAAAAATATTGTTCTAAGATTTATTCCAGATATTGCTAAATTTAATACTCTAAAGGATCTAAGTAAATATAGTGATTAAATTGAAATTGTCAAATTTCATAAAATATGTATCTGTAAATGAAATGAATTTATATATTGATTGTGTTTAAAATTTCCCTGTCTGTTTTAAGAAAAACTAGGATGTTTATAATATTATGTTATTTTATTTCTTCGTATATGTAAGTAACATATTTTTATGCATGTAAGTAACATGTGTTATATTTTAGAAAGTATGTAATAATGTGCTTTTGTTGGTGGTAGCTGGTAAATCTCACCAGCTCCTAGACTTTAAGTTCATATTTTAGTTGTTTATTCTATTTAAAGTTATTTCAGGTAGTATGGTGGTAGTTCTACTACTTAATGGGCCTGATTTAGGCCTTATTTTAGATCTCAAGTGTTTCTTTAATTAAATAGCTCGACTAAACCCTGTTAAGTCTCTAATGGCAATACAGGAAGTTCGAATAGTCATACCAGCTGTCACCTTGCAAGGTCAAGTACTGAATTTGTGCAACTGCTACTAAGTGAACCGGATAGTGAGAATTACAAATTCATACTCAAAAATCAGATACATATGACATACATATGAATACATATGACACTCAAAAATCAGATTTTCCTCATCGACAAAAAGATTTTTAAATGATAAAAATATACTTTTTAAATGAATTAATTTTAAATATTTACTAATTAATATCCAAAACTTCAGTTACTAATACTTAAATGCAAACAGTACAAAAATATTTACATGAAAAAAAAAAAATTTTAAATATTTTACTTTTTTTAAAAAATGCATGAAGAATTTTCCATTCTTTAAAGATATCCAGTGTGCACATACATGTGTTTCAAGATTTTTCTTACTTCAGTGTTATGCAGCTGTTGGAACTGTTTGAATTTTTTAACATCAACAATGCATCCATCTATACATATTACCCCCTTTTCAGCTGTTAAATTTAAGAAGTGCACCTCATTTGCAGATCTGAATTTTCCCTTTTTAAGATGCCTACAATACTAGTTTTCAAGCCTACCATTACTGGGGCATTACCAGCACCAAATGCTAAGCAGAGGAATTGCATGTTCTTTCAAAGTTTTAATAATTAGCAGTGCTATACTAAAGCTTGTCAAATGTCCTTCTAAAGTGGGGACAGAAAGTAAACTACACAAATTTCTGAAGACCTATGATTAAAAAAAGAAACAACAACTGGATACAGAGAGGGCAGAATGGAGCTGTTGTAATGATATCAACAACAGAAGATTTAGTTTCATTCCGATTTCTTTAACAATATTTTTACATTTGAGTATTTCTTAGCGATTTTGTTATCGGGAAACATTTTTCTAAATAAAGCTGAAGTATGATCCAATGCATTCGCTGGCAGGTTGTGTTCCAGAGAAAAAGCAGAGAAAAGGCATTCTGCATTAGTAACATTTTGATGCCTTGTTTCCAATGAAAAATTTAATTATTATTATTATTATTTTTTTTTTCAGTAGAACTTGTGTTGTCCTTCTGTTTTTGTGTATGCGCATATTTGAGAATATCAGCCCCTCTACCATGCAAAACTGAAAAATCGCAATGACAAATGATACACATCACAAATATATTACATTTTCTTGAGGAAAAAATAAAAAGAAAGTTATCTGTGTATGATTTTTGAAAAGTATGTGAGTATTTTACCTTTTTTGCAGACATAACTAAAACAAAAGATCATAATTTCTTAAACTATTTCTCGAAAGCACATGCACTCACACCACTCAGCTTCAAGATAAACGAAATAACAACCTCGATATTGCTTTGAGCTCATTGGCTAATATATGTCAGATGACATGCAGTGGCACTCGATACTCATTCGAGAACTGGAACATGATGTTTTCCGACACATGTGCTCTTACTCACAAAGCAGAAGCATGCTATAATTTCTAACTGATGAAATGACCTTTTTATTTTTTTTAAATGTAATATATAGAAAACCCACATGCTTTCAGATGCCAGAATCACTTTTTTTTTGGGTGCAAATAACAATGTACATAAAACCAAGGTACATAAAAATCACGAGAAATTTTAAGAATAAGAGAAAGTCAGGAGAAATATGTTGTAAATTGGGTTGGCAGGAGAATGGTTGGAAATTGGGAGAGTTGGCAACTCTTCAAATTTGATATATTTAAAGCTAATCCAGTTTGAAGTTATATGAGATAATATTGCTCACGTTATTGTCAGATATACAAGACTTTATAGAGTTGAGAAACCTTTAAACTAGGTGCTGTAGGTCAGAGATTATACATGGTTTTAATTAAAATCCAAATATTCAGATTGTTTTAAATTTAATTCTGTTCATAACACTGTTGGATATAAGGGCATAGAACAGCTTTTTAGTAGAAACGTTTTTATAGAAAATTAAAAAAAAATTCTGGTTATTTGATATTATAGAAACCATGGCAAAGGAATATAAGATATCTGAGCAGATAACAGAGACCAAAGATTAAAAAATTGTCACAATCAAAAATTACTTGCTACCTAAAAAGGTGAGAAAATTTGCATAATTTTTGGGTTTGTGCTGCCATTGTAGATTATTCATTAATGATTTTTCTCACACAGCAAAGCCTTTACTAATTCTAAAAAGACTAGATTCACTTGGATGGTGAAAGTAAATATGACTTTTGAAAAACTTATCCATGCCCCTATCTTGATATTATCTGAATCAGATGACATCACCACAGATGAATATGATTTTGAGGTAGGAGACATGCTTATGCAACAAGAAGAAGTATATTTTAGTGAAAGAGCTAATCAGATGTGAAACAAAACATCAACTCATCAGTAAAGAGAACAGGGGACCATAAGTGTTCACTACAGTTCTGATATTCTTTGCATCAAATTAAAATTATCTTTAGTTGTTAAAATAGTGAAACACATACCCTTGGCTTTCTAGTATAAAGGCTTTTTATAGTAAACTTTCTGTATACAGTCTGTCATGTTACAATAATTGCAGTGGCAGCTGCAAGCTCTGAACTCAACTGCTAAGCAGTAGACTTCTTGAAGCAGTTGGCTGTGCGCGTGCATTTCTTACGATGTGGCGGTCTTCTCGACGACTATTCTGTCGAGGGCATCTTGAGCCTGGTCTTCGTGTACATGACATCTCTCAGGTCCACTGGTCCCAACAATTCCTCACAACACAGACTCCTCACAATCAGAGTGTCATAATTGACGAGCTACTCGCCTAGCTGACCACCCAGCTTCCATCATCCCAACGATTCTCCCCCTCTCAAACTGCGACAACTGCTCATATTGTCTTCGAACAGAGCGTAATGGCATGTCTACCTCAACTCTTCCTTTATAAATGATTCAGCACACTCAAACAAGCTTTGGTTACCTGTTTTATACTCCACAGAGTACGACGTTCAGCGTCCTCTACCGGCTATACATAATGCGCAATCACACTGCATTTCTAATCATTTGCATATCTCCCTGACATGTACCTTCACTGCAAGTTTCGTTACGATCTCGCAATTATTTCTTCAATCTTTTCTTTTCTTTTCTTGGTGCGCTAATTTTTTTGTCCATGAGTGTATTAACATTTTTTAATGTTCAGGTTTTTCTGTTATTTTAAAACTTTTGAAGAACTATCAGAAATTTAGTCATTACTCATAATTAAGAATAAGGCCAAGAATTCTTTTTTTTTTGGGGGGGGGACAGCAATCCTAAAACATGAAAAGTATTACTGGCCATCCAAAAGAACTTTTTTAAAGTTTAATATGGTGTATCCGTAGAGATTATCAATAGAGATGGCCCAGATAGAATAGAAAAACATTTTATAGGTTACTTATATGAATATACATTTAAAGTAATATCAGAACATTATACATCTTTTGTATATTTGAAAAAAAGAAAAAATATATAATGTAATTCACTAAAAGTATACAATGCTTTTAATCTGACATAACATGAATTAAGATACATTTTTACTTAAAACAATCTGATTAAAATGCACAAAAAGTAATATTCATAAAGAACTGCATCTACCTACAGTTTAAAATAGCTTAACATGTTCAATTAATAACAGATAGATTAAATTTGAAAGATAAATATTTTATATTTTGTCAAATGGCAGCAAATTTGAATAAAAAGTGAAACAATGAATTTACAGTGGATAATGCAAATCATGTCATGATATTAATAGCTCTTTTTTGTACTAGAAAGACAGAAAAATTTTTCTTCTTAACTTTTAAAACAGGATGTTTTTGTGATGTAAAACATATATATTACCTCCATAATTTGGATTCCCATATTTTTGATAATACTGACTCCTTTTCTCAGCTCCCGGCAATTTTTTATCATCTAAGAACAAAGAGATAATACATTAAAAAAAAAAAACTGCTATGCAATCAAATACAGTGGCATATAAAAGCAGAATTTGGATGGCTGAAAAGTGATGCAAATGTTGATGGTGGAATACAAACATCAAATGTTACAGCCAATAATGACTGACTGTCAAAACATATATTAATTAAGCAGTCATTAACGATGCAAACATTCTGAAGGTCTTGAAGAGGTTTAATTAAGTGCCGATACAAAGTCTATATAACTTTAATATGATAATTTTTTATAATATTTATGTTTTTAAGCTATTTTTGTATTTATACTTTTAAGGCCAAAAGAAGATGAATAGTAGATAGAGAGCACTGCAGTGCTGTCAGATGCACTGAAGTCAGATGCACTGCAGTGCTGTCAGATGTTTTGGTTTAACATGCATGTGAAGCAAAAAGGTGGCTACAGAACCAATAAATTATTGATCGTATAGATTTAAGCTAATAAACGACTGTGTTTCTTTAACATGGAGGTGCTTTAATTTAGTACCAAACTGAAATTAAGAATCAGGACCTTTCACATACTTTATTATGAAAAAATGCCTACAGCACAAGCATTAGGCATATACAGGAATAGCTCCCATACACAGCAGCTTATTTTATAAACACAAGGAGAGACTTTTCTCTTTTACTATTTCTTTTGTGGAATTACACCTCATTAAATTGTTTCCACAACATCAGGTTTTTTCTTTATATTATTGGTTTACATAATAATTAATAACTTTTGCTTTTACAATATGTTTCATTGCTATGCAAGTCGTTCATTTGCATTTAGATATCCAAGTTCCCTTGTTAGTCTATACTTTTAAATAAATAGACAGCATTAGATACTGTATTAGTTTTCATTAACGTTTTACATGGAGGATTAGTGGGAATTGAAAGTCAAATAAAATAGATTATTTACAACTTTAACAAACAGTTAACAGAAGACAGTTAGTGCCTCTTTTTTTGGGGGGGGGAATTGATCATTCAGTAACTTCTTAGTGGTGGAAAGAATTTCAAATAACTCATACCGTTGTACAGATACCTGGGCCACGCGCGGAAAAAGTTCCAAACAAGACAAGCAATTGTCTGGATATCTGTGCCGAGTTGAGCAAAAGTTACTACCCCTTCTGAAGATCACCATTTTTGTTATACAGTAGAAAGTCTGAGATCCGGACTCATCGAAACTTTTGCGAATCCGTTTTTTAAAATTATTTTCTGGATTTTGGACCGTTAATCTATTATTAAATGCAATAAGATGACATTTAAAAAATATGAAATTAAAATCCAAAATGGTTGTTTATTAACAAAAAAAAAAAAAAAAAAAAAAGAGAATAAAAGCTCATTATTTATTTGTTTAAAATTTTTGCAATAAAAGCTCATTATTTATTTGTTTGCTTTATTAAACATTTCTCTCAATAACAGTAGTTGTTCACATAATTTATTGTTCAGTTACAAAGTCCTGTCGAGTCCTTACTAATCCTCCATGTCAATCAAAATTTTTTCTTTTTCAGCAACCTGCATCATTTCTTTTTTTATCAGTAGCGATATTTTCTGCATTTAGAATCATGTTACAGTTTTTGAGTAGCAAGTTATTTTAGCATAATTTTAGACTTACTTAGTCCCTGCCACAGGCTACTTGTGATGTAACCTGAGAACGGTAACTAAAGATATGTTTTGCTAAATTTTACCTTGCTTCTATCCCATGCTGGAGAAATTAAGCATAAATTACATTAATTTAGTTATTTATTATAATCACATCTACTTAGAGCACATGGTAAAGGCTTATCTTAAATACATAAATTTCAGCAAATACTTAAGGCTTATCTAAATAAATTATTTATTAATTCAAACAACTCTAAATGCAAATTTTTGGCCTATGAATATGATTTATAAAATATATTTTCTTGAATATGGAAAGAAATTTGTTAAATATCTCTTTGCCAAGTGCAATGTTAACATTAAAGGTACCACATTGTTTGGTATTGAATTTGCTAACGTCTTTTTTTAAAGAATTTTAAACATTGCTGCATGAGTCATTTCTCAGGCTGCCATGAACTGATAATCACATGCTGAAAGGAAAAAATAAAAAACAAAAAATATCGCCAGGCAGGTATCAGGGATATGTGTTATCCAGTAGATGTAAAATAAGCAATTGATATTGGTAAATGTTTTGGTTTAACATGCATGTGAAGCAAAAAGGTGGCTACAGAGCCAATAAATTATTGATCGTATAGATTTAAGCTAATAAACGACTGTGTTTCTTTAACATGGAGGTGCTTTAATTTAGTACCAAACTGAAATTAAGAATCAGGACCTTTCACATATTTTATTATGAAAAAATGCCTACAGCACAAGCATTAGGCATATACAGGAATAGCTCCCATACACAGCAGCTTATTTTATAAAACACAAGGAGAGACTTTTCTCTTTTACTATTTCGTTTGTGGAATTACACCTCATTAAATTGTTTCCACATCATCAGGTTTTTTCTTTATATTATTGGTTTACATAATAACTAATAACTTTTGCTTTTACAATATGTTTCATTGCTATGCAACTCATTCATTTGCATTTAGATATCCAAGTTCCCTTGTTAGTCTATACTTTTAAATAAATAGACAGCATTAGATACTGTATTAGTTTTCATTAACGTTTTACATGGAGGATTAGTGGGAATTGAAAGTCAAATAAAACAGATTATTTACAACTTTAACAAACAGTTAACAGAATTTTTTTATGCAATTACATGCCACTGAATTTTATTGCTATTTAATCAGTTAATCACAATATTTCACTTGACCTATTTTATTTTTCTTACATGATATTATCCCTTCCCTTCATTGTTATTATTATTAACTAGTCATTAACCAAACTTGAAATAAAATTAAAAATGAGAATTATTGTAACAAACTAGATGTAACATTTTTCCTCATGAAAGAAATTAAATAATAATAAAATTTTCAGTTTTTTTACTATTAAATTAAAAATTTAAATAATGCTGCGACAGTAATTGAGTATGACACTGAATATGACACCTAGCAGCTATTAAAAAATAGCAAAAAATTGTACCGATATTCTTATCTATGCAGTTCTACTCTAAGCAAGAAATATTCTACTTGCTTGAATATCACAACATGTTAAATATATTATTACAATGTTATGAATTCTTAAGAAATTTCCAATTCCAAAAATTAATTCACTTTACTTCAAAATTCATATAAATTAGGTATAATATTTAAAATTTAATAGTTTTTAAACAAAATGACATATGTGTAAATAACTGTTAAAAGAATTAAATAAACTGATGATGATTAAAACAATTTACTTCATTACGTCAATAAAAAAACACCAAAGTTTACATAGGCAAATAAAAATTTAGAAACATTAAGTAAAATTTTTATTCCATACACTAAATTTTTCTATGTTTCCAGTTACACAACATATTGAAAAACATCAAAATACTTTTTTTTTTTACCTTTAGTTGCAAACCTTAACAATATAGCTTTAGCTTTTGGATGAGGAATTCCTAATCTCCAATGCCCTGGTGGAACTGGTACATCTACAGGAGGCACATCTTTACTAGTAGCATCTCCTTCACAATCTGTATCACCTTTCTGGATATCAACATCCATTGGCTCATCTTTTGACTGAAAGATGCAGAAAAAATTATTCTACAAATACCCAAAATTTAGTTACGGTTTTATTGAAAATGAAAAGAAATAATGAAAGAAATGCTATTATCCTCAGTATCACTAATCAAATATTTATTTTTTAATGCATTCTTTTTTTAATGAGATAAGGGAGGGTATACTAGATTTTGAATCAATATACTATACGCTTAATTAAGGTAACTACCAAAAATATCTATAATTCTAATTAAAAATACCTAAAATCATGATCGAAATTTCGTCTGAATTTTAGAAATACAAATTTTAAGTTAATCTGCGTCAGACTTCTTCACAAGAAGATGATTAGTGACTTGCATGCTCCTAAAAGGCAACCAACTATGAAAAACCGAGATCTACATATCTGATGTTTGATTCTAACATAAGAAATCCCCCTAAGAAAACCCACCCTAATTATTTATTATTTTAATTTTGCAGAGGACAGTCAAACTTGATGACCAAGAATAAGAAGTTTCATATAAACTGACTGATGTTCTTCCATATTATATGAAACCTTTTTTTAAATTTTGAAATAATTAAAATTTTAAAAATTGTAGTTATATGAATGAAAAAAGTCTCATATCACATTAAAATTTCAGTGATTAAAAATTCAATTTTTTTAAAAAATTTTATTGTACCAATTACCATCCTTTAATTCTGGTAATTCATTTTTTGCAAACATCCTTTGATTACAGATCTAGTTTTATGTTAAAATATTGTTCCTTAAAAAAAAAAAAAAAACTTTTCTAAAGGGGGTGGAGGATCGGCTTAAAGCAGTCCTTAATTCAACTTCATAGATTAAGTTTGAAAACATAATTTAATAACTTACAGAAGAACTTTCTTCATCATCTTCACTCTCTTCTGAATCTGACATTAAAATTACAGCTTCCTTTTCTAAACTCTGTGTCATGGTTGCATCATTTGAATTAACTACACAAAAAATAACATATTAAATAGAAAGAACAATAAAGGGAAAAAACAGATTTCATATTTCAATAAAATTTTAGAAATGGAAACTAATGAAAAGATTTTTTAACCAATCTTGTATTCTTGATTAATTTCTAATTTTAACCATTATGAATATTTCACATGTAATTATGACATGCAGAATAGAAAATTTACATAGCTTCGGAACTTGAGATATGAAGGCCTAATGTTAAAAAGTGCAGACATTAATAATACTTAATAAAATAAAATTCAGTTTATGAGATCCCAATCACAAACATCAGCTGATCAAATCATCAGCTGATCACAAACATCAGCTTCATGCTATATTAGAAACACATGCAGGAAAAAAAAAAAAAAAAAAAAAAAAATTGAAGGTTATGTAGCAGCATAAACAGACAAGATCTGATATAAAACAAGGGTATAATGATAATGAGCTACTCAAACACATATATAACCTCTTGTACATGAATTCATATATATATATATGAATTCATATATATATATAACCTCTTGTACATGAAATCCTGCAGCATTATATACCCTCAGTGAACAAAATACTGCAGAGAAATTGTTTACTGCAAAAATCTGCCAAAACATTTTAGCTCAATAAAGAAGTAATAGAAAGACTCAATGAATAGTCTAAGAATAAGTAGAAATGATTAAAAGGAAAAGGATAAATATATCAACAAAGCCTGATTTCAGATAAGCGATGGATTATATTGTCTATTCATGCTGTATATTAGCCATAGATCCATATAGGCCACAATATATAACAACTTGGTAAATGAAGCAGTCTGCTTAAATGAGTTTCCAATATATAATTCATAATATGTATAAACAATTCCTGGAGCCCTATGAAGAAGTAATGAGCATTCTGAAGAGACTACAAATGCTAATGAAATGTGATTCCAATGTGAAATTGAGAGCAAAACATTTGGAAGAAACCTTTTTTCCAGAAAAAGAGAAATTAAATGTCACTAAGAAACTGATGTTAATCTTTTTTTGGGACGATGAAGTTCTTAATCTGGTGTATATTGAAGAATATATGAAAAATGCAATACATAGAATTTAACTTAGGGAGGAACTGAAAACCACAAATCACCAATAAATTTCTTTTCATCACGGCCTATTGAAAAGAAGTATTGTTAAAAATAATCTTATTTAAATGACTATGCATGTCTCTCTGCAGCAGCTGTAATGATGGAAGCAACAGAGTTGTTATGGCTGTGAATTTCTTCTACTTTTTTTTTTTTTTTTTTTTTTTTTTTTTTTTTTAGTCCAAAGGGATTTCAGTCCCGAAGGACTATTGCTTTCGTTTTGGCATTTTGCGTCGGACTCATAAACGTCGGTTCACTTTTCAAACTGTTGCCACAAAATGTTAGAGTCCTGCATTATATTTGAAGAAATTAAATAATGAAAAATCTGCATAAATGATTGTCTATTTCTCACATTGTGATAAAACAATGGTACATAGAGCCATCGAATTTTGAATGACGAAATCCTACTGCGAATATGGGCATCTGAAATCCCAAATTTGGAATTTGTTTTATTATAGATTTTATATTTTGTAAAACTTTAAAAAACTTTAACGAATTTTTGATTTACAAACTCAATGCTTTAAAAGCGAGCAATGGCAACGTTATATAGAAAAAAAATACTTTTATCTCCAGCTCGCGAGACTGTGTATATCGGAAATTCTAAAGATATGCTTAATTTAACATTATTTTGCGATATTGCTCTTGAACTGAATTTTATGGTTTAAGTGCAAAGAACATGATATTTAATAAATAAAGGTAACACTCAAAACGTTAAAAAAAACGCCCCTTTGGACGTAATTTAAAATCTGAAAAATTCATTTTTTTTTTTTGTTTTACGACACTAACCCTAGGGTTCCGGGATTTTTATATCTTTAATACACTTATTCCCTTACCAGCTCATATTTTGCTTTTTCAACATTAAAAACAAAATACATAATGCCTGTTACACTATTTGATTGGAATTTTATAAAGAGTGTTAAATTACATTTCAATACATATTGAAAAAAATATCAAGGTACATTTTGAACACTAAAATTGTTACACTATGAAGAAAAGCAGCAAAATCATACTGCTTTTACAAATGTATTATAATGGAAGGATGAAACAATTACAACTTCAGATATCCCTGAAATGCAGAACATGCAGTAATCAATATTTTGAGCATTAGCCCCTGATAACAATTGTTAAAGAGCTGGGCATGCAGATAATAGATTTTGGATGGTATTTTGGAAAATAACTGGCTTTGGTTGTTTTGCTTTACATCATAATTCATTCGCCATACTAGCAAGAGTTGTTGAGCCAGTCTCTTTGCAGCCATTTTTTAGTCGGTCAGTGGTATGTAGGACGTACCAGCCAGGCAAAAGTTATTAAATCCCTGTATATTGCGGAAAAAAAAACCAGGGCAAAATGTGGTCTCATGCTGTACTCTTGCAAGATGAGGCAGCGGAATCCCAGAAGACAGGTATAACCCCAAGCATTAAAACCTCAGTAATGAATATGCAAACTACATATCAATAGGGTTATGAAAATTTGGTTATGTACACACTGGTCCCCATACTATCAATTCAAATGCTAGACCATTACGATGAAGGATGCAGATGTCCAACATTTATTTCATTTTATGCCCTTTCAAATGGAAACAGGAGCCATGCTGTAAGCAAAAGTGGAATTTGTTAGCAAAGATGGTGTTATGCAATTGATGCATCCATTTGCACATCCATAATGCTAAATAATAATGCACTATCTGATGTGCAGCATCAGAGAAAGTCAAACAAATTGCTGACAATATGTTGCATTCTAGATGCAATTGTGCAGTACATGCTGATACTTTGTTTTATGAAGCACATCTAATTTTCTACAAGATGTGGCTGTTCGATTTCTAACAGTAACACAGACAAGATGTCCATCATTTGAGGTGTTGGTAAGTGGAGGCTATTAAGATTCCACACTTTACTCCTGGATTCATCAACTGCCAACTCTCATAACAGTCATTGGATTTCTGCCCACAGGAGCATCAATTAAACAGTATGACAGTTTGGACTTCTAGTCGCAGATCTTATTTATGTATCACAATTGTACTTCTGGAAGCTACAGTTGCTGCAACCAGGGAATATCCATCAGCAGATGGGCATTAAAAAAAAAAAAAAAAAGCTGCTGATGATCCATGGAGAATTTTAAACATCTTTTAATACAAAAAGTCTGTTTTTCATTGAAAGGAAGAATTACTGCTATAACTATCAAATATGAACTACGAATAATCTCTGAACATATACACTGAAGCCACTACATTCACTGCAAGTTGATGTATGTTGCAATTTCCTACTTTCATCACCATTAGCCCATTTTCTTTTTTTAAAGCCATGTATAAAAAGTGGCTGAAAAATACACAATAATTGTCATCTCTCAGCATGAAAGCATAAAATCTGACCTAACCAGTTTTGCGACATTATTCCACCAAGTGCTGCAAGGGATGAAGCAGTTCGCCTTGTCCACATTGCCACTTCTTTTTTTGCACACCGTAGGCAGTGAATGTGTCTTCGAAATCTCACAAATTTTCTACAAAAGTGTCATGATTGTATAAGCAAAAGAATATACAGAATTACAATAAGTTCTACACAGCTTTATTTTAACCAATAGTCTTCCTAAACACATATTCGAACAGCAACACCTATTCATTCACCACGTGCTGTGGCTGAACTGCTGCAGTTGTAATGAAAAAAAAAAAAAAAAAAAAAAACTCTTCATACTGGCTAAACAATATTCCAGGTGATTTAAAGAACAGGTCCGTCTACATAATTTGGAAGCATAATTTTGCGTCATCATAACAAATTAGCAAAGATGATTTAAGATCTTCTGGTGTGCACATACAGCCTTGTGAACAGACACGATAAAGAACAATCGATGTATTTTTTCCTCCTTTTCTTATGAACGATAATTTTGGTGTGATGATAAAATGATATATATATATATTTATTCAAGAATTTAGTAAATTCAGAGAATAGCTACTCAAAAATAAAATTAACGAAATTTGCAAAAGTATGTTTCTTGCGTGTTCTTAAGTAAAGAAATGACACTATACAGTTAATGTAACATATTTTAATCTTATAGAATATCATAGTCAATAATTATAGTATTTTAATGACTAGGTATTCAACAGATGTAGATATGCTTAACATGTTGATAAATGATATGATGGCATACTAATAGAAAGTGATACACCATCATCACAAAAACTTAACAGTGTGAAACACTGTGCAATGGAGCTAATGTATGGCCTTTAAGAAAGCTTCCTTTTGTTAAATGTCATTTTTAGAATAGGATCAGAGTACAACATTATTTACTGACAAAATATTCAACTAAAAATTGTTGCTGCAAAAAAAAAAAAAAAAAAAAAAAAAAAAAAATATATAATATATATATATATATTATATTACTATTATTATTAAAAAATACATTCAACTTTAAACAGCAAAGGTAACATTAATAAAGCATAAATATTAATAAAATTATAATAAAATAACTAAAAAAAAATCTGAAAGGTTTCAGATTTTAAATTATGTCCAAAGGGGCGGGTTTTTTTTTTTTTTTTTTTTTTTTTTTTTTTTACATTTTGTGTGTTACCTTTATTTATTAAATATTATGTTCTTTGCACTTAAACCATAAAATTCAGTTCAACAGCAATGTCGCAAAATAATTTTAAAATAAGCATGTGTTTAGAATTTCCGATACACAGTTCCAAGCGCTGGAGATAAAAAGGTTCTCCTCCCTCCATAGAATATAGCCATTGCTGACTTTTAAATTGTTGAGTTTGTTAATAAGAAATTCATTAAAGTTTTACAAATTTGGCTTTCAGATGCCCATATTTGCAGTAGGATTACATCATTCAAAATTGGATAGCTCTAGGTACTGTTGTTTTATCACAATGCAAGAAACATACATACATACATACATTAATGCAGATTTTTCATTATTTAATTTCTTCAAATATAATACAGGGTGAGAGTATTTGGTGGCAGTGATTTGAAAAGTGATACAGCCTTTTTTTCAATGCAAAATCACAAAACAAAAACAATAGTCCTTCAGGGACAAAGCGCCTTTGGACTAAAAAAAACATGAATTTTGATGGTAACTGATCTTTATATGACAGGCCAATAAAAGTTTATAACTTTTTTAAATGCCTAGTGACTTTTGATGCATCTGCATGTCTACTGTGTCTAAAAAAATATTTAAAAACATTAATTATACGGTTTTAACACTCAAGTAAAACAGTTTTTGTTATTAAAAACCCAAACCTGGTTAATATAATTATCAATAAGAGTTGTAAATTTGTGCTATTTAAAAAAATTGTGACATTAAAAAAAAAAAAAAAAAAAAAAAAAAAAAAAAAACTTCTTCTAACTGTCTATTTCTGTGACTACAGATTCTTTCTTCTCTTCACTTTTTTTCTTCACCACAAGTGGACGACTCATACCAAGAAGAGCTCTTGCAGCACTTGTTTCATCTAACCAAACAACATTGCCTATGTAAAAGAACATATAAAGAGTTTAATTAATATAAGTAAAATTTTAAATGGTACAAATTAGAACAGCTAGTTTATTTCCTATATTTATCCCAATTTTAGTTACATAAAAAAAAAGATAATTTGTTGAAATTATATTCAGAGGTTACAAAATTATTAATCTAAAAGTGATTTTTAACAACTTTTAAAATATCCTATTCACTCACATATTGTATAACGCTAAATATGAGATATTCAAATAAACGTAAAATACGAGTAGAATGAGACCTGAATAATGTACAAGTTAAGATAAACATGTTTATAGAATGTTTGATGTGAATAATGAAGGGTAACTGAGAATCACTATTATCAAATTTTTTTCCTTCTCACATTTTCTCATCTGCTTCATATTATAATGGTTATTTTGGTGGCAACTTATAGTTGTATTTCTACAAAAACAAGTAGCATGAAATACTATATATCCATTATTTTTCATTTATTTATATATATATATATATATTCATGAATACGTACGTACCTGCAACAGAAGGTATATACTCTTATTAATTGTGCCTTATTCTCTTATTAAATGTGAATTTCACAGCTGATACACAATGAGTTGCATAGATTTTAGGTATTGGTGGATTCCTGATATTCCTTGCAAATACTAACCATAAAATTACATATAAAGCAGTATCTTGCTCCACAAAAAAGTATTTTGAAACCCAAGCCTCTAAAAACTTCCTATTATCGCCCCAAAAATTACAAAAATTCTACATTGGTTCCTCTTTCAAAATAATAATAATAATAAAAAAGAAGAAATATTAATTAATATTAATATTAAAAAATAATAATAATAATAAAAAGAAGAAATATTAATTTAAGATACTTCTTAATGGTCTTAAAAAAAAAAAAATAAACACACGTGATAAAACAATGTATAGTCACAAAACCAAATGTGCAACAATGCAAAGCAAATGAATGCAGTGCTTCTGATCACAGCAAATATTTTCTCTCTCACTTTCTACTAGTGCATGCGTGCAAACATACTCATGCTATGACATATCACAGACTTTTTTCCAATCTGTGTGCCACACAAGCTAGGAGCAGTTTTTGCACTCAGCCAGTGAAATATGCTTTGGTTGACACCAGGAACTTGCTCAGCATCAAATCTCACTTCGAGAAAAGAGTAGAATGAGTAATGAAGGGAGAAGAGGTGACATTTTTCTCTGCTCGCAACCCCTTCTAGAGACAACTGATATATCAAATCGCAACAAAATTTTGAAGAAGTCTCGGAGGGTCACAAGTTGACTGCTCTAGGACTACAGGTTGTGCATCCCTATTGTATGAGATGGGCAGCATTTCAAGCCTTTCACCTAAAATAATGTGCATTAAAAGAGCGTTATGTTCCCACACAGCATATAAATGAACATGTTAAGTTTAGAAGAATTTGAAAACTGAGCATGGATTTATTACTCTTTTGCATATGCTACTGGTAGAGTATGAAATTCGATACATTGGTATTTTGGGAATGCCTATGCATTTTTAGGCAAAATATGAAGCAATTAATATTTGACACATTTTCTAGGCATTCTGTAGAGTGCCCAATGACAAACTGGTACAGTAGGAAATCCACCATCTATTCATTTTGAATGTAATGTGGCAAGGCATGTTGTCACATTACATTCAAAATATCCTAAAGCAAACATGTTTTAATGTTTGCTTTAGGATCAGAATTTGCCATTTGCATTTTAAATTTTGCTTGGAAGTGACGAACTACATAATATTCATGCATGAATTTGTTCAACAAAAAATTAGGTCTATACTGTGCTGCATGAAAATGGAAGTGGAAGATGTACTGTCGGAGATGGAAGCACGGTCGATAGACATGCAACAATTTTACGATAAACTATCTAAAGTGCTGATCAAAAAATAATAATGTTGGGGAAAAAAGTGTTCTTAACTTAAACTACCTATCAGTATTTTATAAATAATGTTAAAAAATAAAGATTTCTGGGACCAAAAGAATACCATATAAAGCTTCGTTTGGTTTCAAACCTAAAGCTGGTCTCACAATGTTTTCTCTACCCTATAAATACAAAGAAATAGCTAGAAAAAATAATATAAAGTGTACAAACAATGCAAAAAGATGAAACAAATTAGCTTATGCAAGAAAATGAGTCTGTTTAAATAAACATGGATAAGATTGTAGATGACAGATGAAACCAAAATGATGATGAAGACATCCTTACCAAAGAGATTCCTGTTTCTACTTCCTGCTGCATATGTTTAAAGAAAACCAGTACAGTCAAAAGTCGTTAATTTGGACACCCGTAATCCGGACCTCAAAGCTAAAAACTTTCTGCGCATGCGCCGCGTTGACACATGCGCATAGGCGTTTACGCGTGCACGTAAGACCTTTACGACTGTGCATATGCATGTGCGCAAGTGCAGAAGATGGGCATTTGACTTGTATTTGGAAATGTCTGTGCTTTCATGCAATGCTACCGAAAAATAGCAGCAACTATTGATTAGATTTTCTAATTTATAAGTGACATGCATGCTAATCTCGTTTACATGTCGGCTTACAGTCTGGAGAGAAAGTGATATTGTTTGAAATTTTCTTAACATTTCTTTGTCATTAAATGCTTGAGCCATTTTTTATGGCACATTTTTTAATGAATTCTCCATCCAAAAATGGCTTCTTAGCCTTTACTATTTCTAAACAAACTTCAAACGATGCAGCTACAGATGCTTCTTGAAATTTTGGTTCTTGATTAAAACAAATCTTTTGGTGATCCAGCTGCTTTTTAATTTTTTTCACTAGTGGTATTTTCATGTCTCGTGTGTACGAATGATACTTTTTTTCATGCATGGAAAGATAATGGCGCTTTAAGTTATATTCTTTACACACAGCTATGATTTGTAAACATTCCAAACACTATGGTTTACCATTCTTGTTCAGAATAAATAAATAATCTATCTCCCAGCGATCTTGAAATTCTCGATTATCGAAATCTATTTTTCTTTTATTAGTAGCACTCATATTCATAATTATTTTAATTAATAAATAATCTGAAATTTAAGTAATAATATATAACACAGTCACCTCTCACCCTCTCAACAAATTCTTGACCAAACTGCACTCGCACGATTGCAGGAATCCAACCAAATAGCTCAGGGTAGTTGCGCATCACGTGCGGCCCCCATAGATAAACAACAACCAACCACAAATTAATTACGCTAACTATTCGTACCTACTTTAAATTCAATTAATTTTTCACATAGTAAAATAATTTAAATATTAATAATAATAATATTTAGTAACCATAATTTTTCACAGTAAAATGCACTTGCGGGCCGTAAAAATAATTTGGCAGGCCGTGTACGGCCCAAGGACCACCAGTTGGACAGCCTTTTTACAAGAGATAAAATTAAGGACTATTAAAAATAAAATTATTTCCTTTCTTGATGCAACAAGTAGGTTCACATTTTATTAATTTTTTTTAAAAGCAGAAACTTTGTTTTAAATAACTTCCATTTTTCTTTACATATTTTGAATAAAAGACTTTTAATGGCACTCTTTTATTATTTTTCCTACTTTTATTTACATTTCTGCAAATGCATGTTTTTTAAATAAAAGCTTTATCATGACCTTCTATTTATACTTTGCTTTAGCATTTGTCATTTCATATGATGTCTAGGTATTACATTCAATGCCTAGGGAAAGTATGTAACATATTCAAATAATTCTCATATTTCATACTTTGCCTAAAAATGCCTGAGCATATCATCATTTTATATATCACCAGTGTTTGATACAGTGCTGGTAACATATATATGTCTACAACAGCTTTATGTACACGTAAAAAGAATATTTTAAATTCACGTTTTCATTTTTAATTTTTATTATTTGCTTTCCCATATATATTGAAAAAATTGAAGAATATTTAATTAACTACTGAAGAATATTTAACTAACTTATATGCAACATAACATGAAGCAAAATTGATTAAGTAATTTTAAAAAAGAATATAAATTTACTGAAAGCGTTCTTCATGCTGGCAAGCTACAACATAAAGAAAGCACCAAAAATAAATAAATAAATAAAATATAATAAAAAACCAAGATGATATATTTTGTTCTACTCTCTTTAAAATTATATAGATTTAATTTTAATTCATAATAGCCCTTAAAATATTTTTTTCACTCTATTTCCTCTTCCTGTCTTAAAAATAGCAAAATCTTATAATAAATCATTTTGAGGAATGACATCCCATAATTATACTTTATATAATTCATAAACTTGCAGGTGATGCAAGGACTTGCAGAAAAATGAAAGTGAAGTTTCTATCCAGCAGTATTCACATTAAAACTTTTATTAAATGATAGTACTAAAAGTGTATCTTTTTATTGAAAAATAAAGAAACTAACATTTTTCTTAATCTATTACAATAATATAATTTTCCTTCTTTTAACACTTGTTTTTGTCTAGCCCCTGCCAGCTATAAAAATTGAAACAAGGGGCTGTTTTGTGTCTTGCACTGCTTCAACAAAATTATTACATGGTCATGCCATAATATATTAAAAAAAGTTAATTAAAAGTCCATAATTACCTCTCTATTTATTGGAAAAAAATATCATGAACACTAGCACCATCCCTTTTAAGTCATATCTTAAATTTCTATTATGTACACTGAACAATAACAACAAGAACACACACAAACCACACACCAAAAAAAAAAAAAAAAAAAAAAAAAAAGATTTTTACATTACACACAAAAAAGGTTTTTTTTTTTTTTTTTTTTTTTTTTTTTTTTTTTTTTTTTTTTTTTTTTTTTTTTTTTTTTTTTTACGTTTGTTGTTGTTATTTTATTAAATATCAAAATATCATGTTCTTTACACTTAAAGCATAAAATTCAGTTCAACAGCAATATCGAAAAATAATTTTTAAATGAGCACATCTTTAGAATTTTCAATACAGTCTTGCATGCTGGAGATAATTTCCCCCCCCCCCCTGTACTGCCATTGCTAGCTTTGAAATCAGTAAGTTTGTAAACGTACATACATTTATGCAGATTTTTCATTTTTAATTTCTTTAAATATAATATACAGGGCTATAATATTTGTTGGCAACAATTTGAAAAGTGAACAGACATTTATACTGAACCAATGCAAAATGCCAAAATGAAATTAATAGTCCTTCTGGACAAATTGCCCCTTTGGACTAAAAAAAAAAAAGGACAGTTCTATATCTCTTGTTCTACAGGGCCAATTGCCAAAATTCAACTTGCGTTTTTCATGTCTCAAAAGCACTACTTAGGATATGTATTAGATTTATACATAACATTGTTCTAATATAGGTATTTTGACGCCAAATTGGATTTTTTCTGAAATGACATGCCAATTTTTTTTCCATATATCAAGTCTATGACTGAAATTATGCCAAGCTGCCAAGTTTTGTAAAAATCGCACGAGTAAAAAAATTAGTTATCAAAATTTTACCTCCTCAATATCAATTGAATTTGATATATATTTAATAATTTCTCTTTTTTTATTAAACTTACTTGATTCTTCCTTCCAGAATTGAAAATTTAGGCTTAATCCAACATATAATTCGCCCATTTTTTTATGATTTAATTTTTTAAAAGTCTGTATTTTTTTAATAATTTTTATAAATGAAAAAAAATTTTTTTGAATTTTAATCTATAAAACTTTTACCATCAAAATATTGGAGTTTTTTATTAAAAATTTTCTATGATATATATGAATTTACATATTGGCACATTTTGAAATTTGGCCTTTTTTTTTTTTTTTTTTGAGCGATAACACAAAATATGGTTTACGCACTTTGTTAAAATTATTTGAAAGCATGAGGGCTTTTTCCTGCTCATCTACAATGAAAAAAAGGAAAGGAAGATAGGTTGCTATAAATTAAAAAGTGTGCCTAGTATATTATTCTTGGTGCAAATATAAAAAAATGCGGAAAGATAAATTTTTGAATTTCTCTGTAAATTTTGCACCAATTTGACAAAATTTAATATTTAGACATAATTAGTCGTAGAATCAAAATATGGAAAAAAATTAGCATGCCATTTCAGAAAAAGTCCAATTTCATATTAAAATACCTCTGTTAGAATAATATAATATATTTTGGTACTTTTCCCTTTTGCCGACGCAAGCGATAAAGTCGCCAATAATGGTACAACTGATGCCAAATGGAATATTCTCGCTGGTAACCTTTTTAACGCCTCATTTTTCAAAACAAGTCGCAACTTTTTTCTTATCAGATTGATTTTTGTTCTTTCAATACTGGCATATAATTACATAGAATTTTTATCAGATATTTTCAGTTTTTAGTCCTTAAGGCCATTTTCGGTAATTAATGTCAATTAGGATGCAATCACAAACGCGCTTACCCGAAGCCCGAAAATATAAAAGGTAAAGTCAAAGATTAATTCATCAATTCTAATGAGAATGCATTAGCGAAGTAAAGCACTGCAGTTTTTACATAATTTCTGAGTAAGCTATTCGTACGCATTGAAATATTTTCTTGCATTTAAACTTGTGTTCCAAATTAAGATTTAACTTGAAATTAATGTAGATAATTACTGAGAGCATTAGATTTTTGTAGAATAGTTTGTGTGAGATGAGATCGCTTGGGGTCACGTGATATGAACCGGCGAATCAGGATGTTGAACCATGAAAGCATAGTAAATTCTTAAATTAATGTCTTTTTACAAATTTATTGTCTTTATTTATTGGCTTTTTATAAAATTTTAAGCGATATTAAAATGTTTATGCCTTCAAAATAAAAAAGTCTTAGAACTAAAATTTTTTTAATATTTTTTATGTGTATACTGTATGTTGTCGCCAATAAAGTCTGCTTGGCGAGATTTGCGCCGGCGAAACGGAAAAGTACCTATATTTTGTGTTAAAATACCTACTCTTTATATAAATATAATATATATCCTAAGTCACACTTTGGAGACATGAAAAATGCAGTTTGAATTTCGTCAATTGGCCCAGTGGAACAGGAGATACAGAACTGTACCCCCCCTTTTTTGCGCAGTTGCATTTAAACAGATAATTCCTTATGCGAAATGCACACATATCTAATTATATAAAATAATTACAGAAACATGTAAACAGAAAAAAGAGCCCGTTTCAACATACTCATCAATTACAATATGCAAATAATATAACACTATATACTTGCAGGAAAAATCATTAATCCATTCAACAGAAGAAGGTCCGTATTCACTGAAATACTGGAAAATTTCATTTGTGCTCATTTCTTCAACTCCCCGCATATGGATGGCATCTAAACGGATATTTTTCACCTTGCCTACAATATTAAAACACATAAAATGAAAATTAAAAAAAAAAAAAAAAAAAAAAAGAAAATGTAAGGATTTTAAATTTTCACTTCACACAAAAACAAATTGTTGCATATAAAAACACAAATGCCTAGACTCCAACCTACAGTAAAACTTATTAGTAATCAATGTGCAAATAACATTTTTATAACGGAAAATGTCCATGTAAGGAACATTTTTTTAATTATCTTTTAAATGAAACTAATTTAATAACATTCAACTTAAAATTCATAAATATAAAAACTGAATAATTAAAAATATTTCTTGTAAAATGCATACTTAATTAGAAATCTTCATTTTATTACTTCAACAGAATAATCACTAAATCTACTAATATACTATTGAAGCAAATATTTTAAATCATAAATAATCATAGAGGAAATCAGAATCCATAAACCACAAATGTTTGAGGTTTTGGAATTCTAATTTCTATATGGAAATAAATAAATAAAAACAAAACAATTCTAAATAGAGACAAGAAATATATATAACTATCAATAAAATACTTATGATTATTTTATAAATTATAAATGTAAGTTTTATAAATAGCATGCTTTGCTAGATTAAATTCTTAATTAGTTAACCTTTTTCTACTGCAATATATATAATATATATATATATATATTACAGAAAAAAAATTATTTTACAGGCTGCATTTTACTAAGGTATTTTACTTAGGTAAAATCAATCATGAGGAAAAAAAAGGGCTAATGATTTTATAGACAAATCCAATTCAGAGCTTATTTTCAATTCATGCAATCTTGCCTCAATAACTATGGCAGTGGCAGAAACTGAATTTCTCTTGGTTTCTGCTGAGAAACTGTTACAGGTTCAGTGGAAAGAAAAGTAATTAATGACTCATGTAATGGCTATCAAACAGATTTAACTATGGTAAAAAAACTCATTAAATTATTTCAGAACAACACACTTTCATAGAATTTTTAAAGAGCAGGCAGGTTATTCCTCTAGGTGATGTCAGAAACAGATCATAATTTTGAAGAAAATTCTGACTTGTCTGTATGCAATAACATTTTATTACTAACTGAAAAGTGATTTACTTCATATGATAAACTGAAACAACAAAGTACAAATGTTTCTGAAATACTAAATTAGAACCATTGAAGAAAGAACTCAGAAATAATGCCCAAAAGACAAGAGATCTTAAAACTGCAAAAGAGCAGAGACATGATGATGCAGTTTTAAAAAATGAGATTTTGATTGCTAAATGAACCTTTTTTAATGATTTTATTTCGAATACTGGTTTTAGGAAAGGCAACAGAAAGTCTCCATCATGAAATTGTGCTCTCACACAAGACATTTGAGTAAATTTGTAAATAATAACAATAAAAAAATATTCTTACCTGAATTCCAATTAGGAATTGACTTCCTTTTATTCGGATAATCAAAAGAAGTCAAAATATACAATGAAGAGAACAGAAAAAATAATGTGATAGGATTGTAGGATGATCCTACAATCGCACTTTATTTTAATTTTTACTAATCTTAACTAGATATATTTATCAATGATAATCCTCTAAATAAGTCTCCTGAGAGAGACAGCACTTCTGCAGTTGATGATTTTTCAGAATTTATTAATCACACTAGCTCAGTTGCATGATCCAGCACTCCTACGAATATACAAAAAAATTTTGAATGAAATAATCCGCTAGGAAATCTTAAGAATTATGGACCTTCCTCATTAATCAGTATTCTCACAAAAATAATGGAAAAAATGGCAGTGAAGAGACGTAAGTGGTATCTCAAATCTCATGGCTTACTATACCCTGCCCAAGCAGGCTTTAGGCAGCATCAGTCAGTTAAGAAATATATTGCAAGTCAGATCACAAAACAATGGCATAGATAAGGTTCATATAGCAGATGCATCCTGCCCAAGTAGGCTCTGAAGAGCATCAATCAACTAAAGAAACATACTGTAATTATTAATCAGATTACAAAGGATGACACATAGATAATGTTCATACAGCAGTTGCCATTTTTATTGATTTTTTAAAAGAGTATTTGGAAAACACTGCTCAAGAAACTTTTTCAATTTGGAGTATTGGGAAATATGTTAAAATGGATCAGCAGCTTTACTGGTCATTGATTCATAAATGTGTTATGGAAATGCTATATCTTGTTACAAACAACTTTAATCTGATCTTCCCCAGGGTGCAATAACCAGCTTTTTACCTCTGTAATGCACATGCCAATTACCTTATGTCTATGTGAAAAGATATGGATATAAATGTACTCCTACATGCTGACTATTTGGTGATACAGTCCTCCTCTGCTTCAAAAAAGGTTGCACACCAGAAGTCATAAGATATACTAAATGATGCCACGAAGCATCTGAGTACACAATGCCAGTTAAACAACACGAATGCAAACGCAGGAAAGACTGCTTGTCTGACTTTCACACTGTGTCACAAGTTTTTTGATTTTGATATTTAATATAATAACACCTTTGTACTTCATTTAAATATTTGGAAATCATGTTAGACAGAAATTTATCATGGAATTCTTAAGTGACAGAACTGAGGTTAAAATAACTAACCAGCTGAATGTAATTCCGGATGATTACTCCCTAGGGAATGCATGTTTTCCATTTTATTTACAACCTATAAAATATTTATAAAACCCCTGATGAAATATTGCTTCACTCCATTAAAAAAATGCCCCTGAGAATTTGAAGAACATGTTAAAACAATACCCAAATCCCATTCTTTTCCTTGCTAGTGGTACTGTAAAAATAATCCCAATAGATGCTTTACTACTTATTGTTATAAACTGAACACTAGATGGTACTGTGATATGCCAGAACTGTTTTGCTTGTAAGTGTTTTGATGCCCTAAAAGATTGATTCTATCATCATGTAATATGTATAATGTCTTGAATTAATGCATCAAAGCCTCTTCAGCTACTATTTTAGAGAAGTTCAGAAGATTCAAGAACCAGACATAACTATTTTCTATTTTTATTCGATTGCAATTCATCATGCTGAATTTGCTTTAATAATATTTCGGAAACTGTGCTCATGAGATACAAATTTCTAACTTAAAGAATTTTTAGAAAATTCTCAGACTTGCCCAAGAGTCAAGATAATTTTCCAATCCCAAAGTTTAAAACTCAGATGAATTTTGTTCAATTTGCATTGAGAAATAAATTGAAATATTGTTATGAATTTACATATAATTAGATGATTTTAATGCAATTGTATGCAAAACTGTAGTATTTCTTGTATGTAGTAACTGTAGTATGTAGTAAACTGTAGTATAACGTACCATGAAAATCTTAAGCTTATCTAAGTGAAGCTTGCCAAAAAAGAAGGAATACATGGGCAAGTCTATTTAACGTTAAGTAAACAGCTATCTCGCTAATTTGCCAAGATATCGGCAAGCTGGCAATGGTTTTGGCGAGAAATTGTCAAAACTCACCATACTTAGCGACATTCTGTTCCGGTCCCTGCAGCATCATAATAGGCATAGTAATTCAAAAACACTACTTGATGTTCTGTGCAGCTGTGATCATAATTTAGCCTAGATCGTAATTCCAGTGATTTCAAGAAGCAAAAAATACTAAAAACTGTATATGATGGAGAGAGCATCTCTCAGATGTTGTTGTGAGTTGTTAGTTCATCATGAATTCATAGTATTAAGATAGCCATGGCTTAGCTTTCTCGGATTCTTTGGTGTATATGTCATGAAATTTGAGGCAGCCCAGCAAGCAACTCATAGAGACCACCACCCAATCAGAGCTGCTCAAGCCCGAGAGCCCGAGAACCAACTGACTACTCGTCTAGACGATTTAAAAAAGCAAGTTAATGCCTTGACACGGAACAGGAGTGGCAACAAACTGAAATGCTGGAACTGTGGTGCTGAAAGCCACGTACGAAGGAACTCCCCAAGGCATGGAAGCTAACACAGCTCCCAGCAAGAAAGAGGAAAACTAATTAGTTGCCATTTCATAGGGCCGAGGCTACCAGATAATGAGAAACCCCATTTTAAAGCGCTTCAGATTTCTGCAATGAGTGGAAGCAGTAATGGACTCTTCATCGTGGGACATATCAAGGGAGTTCCCAGCAATATGACAATCGATATGAGCCACCATCATCATCCTCTGAAAAGATTTGGCTCAGCAACTGGAAGGTAATCTCATCTGGATGCTACCCTGCATTACCCTTTAGACTGTGTCGGGGCAGATCAACATTGATGAAAAATTAAACATTAACATAATATTTAGAAGTGGCACGTAACACCACATGGCATATTTGGCAGATATTACAGATCTTTGCATACTCAGGTTAGATTTTCTAAGGAAATATTATTTTCCCCTGACCCTGAAAATTAATGAAATGCATTCTGCCTCTGAGAACATAACTCAATTCGGAATCAATGATGAAGGAGTTAAATCTGTCCACCAAATCACAGCTTAAAACAATATCAATACCAACAAAACCAGAATTTTTACTTCCTAAATCCATAGCCGAAAACAGAAATTTCCAGTATAATAGAATAGCCTAAGAACAGTAACAGTGAGGCGTATTAGTAGCCTCAGCACTCGTCGACCTATCGAGGGTCTTTATCCTGATGAGAGTAGCCAATGTAACTGTTAAGGTAAAAGTCATCAGGAAAGGTGAAGTGGTTCCAGCTTATATTCCAGGGACCTGCATTAAATAAAACAGTAACCCTCCAAAATCCATATTTTCAGAGAACCTAATATCGGAGTTATTGCCAAATGCACAACTAAGGGATGAAGACAGGAGTACTGCCAAACATGTCATTCAAGAAGTTTTCTGCCGCTTGTCTTCTGACATGGTCAAACCAGTTGGACACAGCTCAGAATCAATACAGGGGATCATCCACCAATCAAGTAAAATCCAAGATATCTACCAATTGCTAAACAGGAAGAGATAGGGAAATTTCTAACGGACATGCAAAAAAGTGATATTACCAAGCAAGTCCATGGGCGT